AGAGAGAAAGTAAGGCCTACAATGACCTGAGCCCAAAAGAAAGTATAATAGCCCTCGGAAGCTGGTCATAGGAATCCCCGACCACGGGAATCCTTATTGTTATATATACTGAAAGCTTGGCTTTAGATGTATTTATACTGAACCCGTTTGAATGAGAATCATGTTTACTTAAACAAGTTTGTGTTCTGTTGTTTTGCACTTAGATAGAATGGGTCGTCATCAGGCGAACTGAAGATCATTCTGTCAGTTACCTGCGAAATAAGAATTATGATTCACAACCTAGATGGATATGAACACCTCATCCGAATGGTTGTAGTGTCAACCAGTGTTCTAGAAGTCGCTAGGAGCTCGCTAGGCGCCCGACCAGCGCCTAGCGCCTAGAGCGCCTAGTCGAGGCCTAGGCGGGGTCTAGGCGGGCCTATAAATTATAATAAATATATTATTTTTATTTATTTTTACAATTTCACTAATGAAATTATAACTTATAATTAATAAATCCATACACCTAAGTCCCAATAATATTATTAATATTATATTATAAAACAAACTCCAAGTCAAAATAAGTACATAACCACAATATAAATTCTTCTCATTGTAATTTTATCAAACACATTATCTACATGTTATGTTTTAAACATTACACAAAATAAGAAATAAAAAAATATATGCATTTAGTAAAAAAAAAAAAAAAAAAACTGTAAAAGCCGCCTAGAAACCGCCTCAACCGCCTAGTCCCGCCGAAATCGCGTAGCCGCCGTGACCGCCGAGGCCGCCTAGCCCGCCTGGCTGATTTTTATGGCCGATTTTAGCAAATCGTAGGCGGCGCACCGCCGCCTAGCGCCTAGGCGCCGCCTAGGCGGCCGCATAGGCCGACTTGTCGAATAGTGGTGTCAACGATACAGTTCGTCTTAACTGATTAGTTGCACTAGTACATTTATGTATTAAACAGGATCCCAGAGAGGAGCAGTTTGTTTTATACTGATCGTCGTAAATGAACTATACCTCGGTTAATTACTGCATTCTCTTAACATTTAAGATATTAACTAGACATATACATGCAATATATATTACTTTGATTCACATGGGTGAGGTTTAGTGAACTGGATCAGTAGACCCACTGTCTTAGATAATATTGTTGCATGTATGATGTGCTGTTGGATGTTTACGGCCACCATGTGTGATAGTTTGATGATGTCCCCGAGATGAGCTCATGAAGGATTATTATGTTAAATCTGGCCAGTAGAATTTATTCCGACATAATAATAATGGCATGAGTGGTACAAGTCTCGGTTATAGATATCGATTAATTTAATTGTCAATAATTAAATTAATTGATGGACATTATATCTTAAACACGGGGAGATAAATCGAGTAATTATTATTGGAGACTCGAATATACTTTGGGAATTAAATTGGGAATTTATTCAGTAATACTACTTTAGTGGAGTGTATGTATTATTCCTATTAGGGTTTGGTAGGTTTGGCCTATAGTCTAATCCAGATAGAAGAAGCTCAATTTAATGTCTTCTTAGGATCCTTGTTGTAGCCTATAAATACATCACATCTCTAGGGATTCGGGGAACATATCATTATTCACGTGAAATTGAGGAATTCATGCTGTTTGTGCTCTCTTCTCTCTCTCTTGTGTTCTCTTTTCTTCTCCAAGTAATCCCAGTAGAGATAGATCTGATTTCATCGCTCACTAAGACGATCATATTAAATGTCAGGTCATACAATAGAAGATCTAAGGTGATCGAGCGATTTATATATATTTATCCAACCCCGTAATATATATATATATATATATTCATCACCGTAATTTGTCTATAATTCGCGGGGTTGTCCGTTCTTCACAAAAGGCGAGTATTATACCAATCGGGTTTATTAGAACTAATTGGCGACTTCCGGTGACCTCTCTCTGACGATCGGCGCACTTCCGGCGATCGGAATCCGTCGGACGCGGAGGTGCCGGAACCTCACGCGCCCGCACGCGCCGCCCATGTCCTCCAGTGCGTGGCCCAGGCGCAACCAGCCCGCCCAGAGACGCAACCCGCAGTGAGGAGCCCAGACGCCTCCAAGAGGCCCGTCGCGCACGGCCCAGAGACGATGCAGGCCCAACGAGGATAGCCCAAATGCGGAGCAGCCCAACAGATGAAGGAATAGCGTGCGCAGGTCGCTCGGCCTGTGTCCAGCCCGCGCGGCCCGAAGCCTTCCATAGTCTTAGCCCGCGCGCGACCTGCGAGGCCCGATGCCGGCCTGGCGCTCGGATCCAGTCCACCAGGGCTCATGTGCCAAGCAGAGCGGCCCATTTCCCTTGCCCGCGGCCTATATCTGTTCCTAGCGCAGCCCAGGACGCGCCAGACCGGTCCACCGTGTCCAGACCAAGCCCAGGGAGTACCAGACCGGCCCAGGCGGTCCAGGAGCACTCCAGACTGGTTCAGCTTGGTTCCAACACCCGATTTCAGTCCAAATTGAGTCCCAGGAGATTTGACCAAGTCAACAGAGGTCCCGGATGATCCAACATGGACAGTGAGCGATCCAATGGTGATGGTAAAGCTAGTCCGGCTGCCCAAAGGACATGGGATTTAGACAATTTCCAACAACGGATATCAAAAATGTCTCAGAGTCGACAAAATTTAAAAAGCGATATGCGTTGAACCCTCGCTTCTAGTTCTGCTGCGCTTAGGGTTTAATTCGTAGATAGTCCGTGACTTGCACATTGTGGAGATCCTCATATATCCCAACAATCCTAAGCTCTCAGGGGATGGATAATTCGGCCACATGTCTCAGAAGTGTTATCCTATCGGGTGTCTAGAAAGACGTAGGGTTGGGTTGAGGGGGTTAATGGGCTCCTTGACCCGAAAATCTATCAACCAGATCACATGGCTGCTCTTGAGAGAGAGTGGTTGAGATACTAGACATAGTGGGCGGAGGATTTTCGTGCAAGAAAAAAGGGAAAAATGAGCAATACTGGGGTTTCCTAGTGAGGTTAGATAAATAGTAAGAGAAAGAATACAAAAGAACATAAGAAGGAAAAAGATCAGAACATACCAATGAGTTGATCCAGAAGGAGGTTGAAGAGAAGTGTGAAGAGATCGCCAAACAAGGATCCACGGAAATATTACGATTGAAAGACGCTTTTTGCAGGGAAGGTTTAAGTGCATAAAGAAGGGGGAAAATGGGTTTCATAAGATCGGAGAAGTAACAACCTATTAAATCTGATCGTTTAAAGATACACAATTCAAGAATCTCGTAAAGATACACGATTCAAGAATCTCATAATGCTAGCTAGAATCTGGTATGACGCATCCATGCGCGTGTCGAAAATTAGGATATGAGCATGTAAAAAGTTTTTTTATTAGTGTCTTGTGCTCTCCCAGAATGTCCAAAGTACATTAAATGAGAAAGAAGGTCAGAGCAAAGGCTTAAGCACAAGAGTTCCATTTCAGCACAAGTCTAGTTAGCTCGTTTTAAAATGGATGGGAGGGCAGTTGGAGGGGTGGGGGGGACAA